CTTGTAGGCTGTGAAATGTCAAAATGCAAAGAAAATACATTTAGAAAATGCAGTACTGTTATTTTGTTTTAGGTATGATACATATATACTAGAACATTCCCTTAGCTCTCATTGGTTAATGTGAAGAAAAACATCTAGTAAAATACTCTTTGGTTCTTTCGGTAAAGTCACGTAGGTATACAATAAAATGAATCACGCAACACCAGCGTCCGTCATCACCTGATGACGGACGCTGGTGTTGCGCTCGAAACGTCGTGATGTATTTTATTTTCTACCTACGTGACTTTACCGAAAGAACCAAAGAGTATGGATTCCTGCAGTCACGAAAGCTTCAAATCAAGATCTATTATAATTTCATGACCCTCTACACAGTGTTTAATATGAATATATTCCTTAAGTGTACTGCATTATACATTACAAACATAAACCATTGATATGCCGCTACCGAATGAATGCAAAGGAGGTTAGTTACTTAATTTTATTACAAGCTATGTAGATTATACATGTTTTTGTATACATATTATTGAGGAGAAAAGATGAAAGCGTTATTGAGTGTTTGTCAAGCGTCATGTTTGATCGATAAAAAGAAATGCAACGGAACTTTTAATCTAGAGAATGATTAATCATATTCTTGGTTCTTTCGGTAAAGTCACGTTGAAGGGAAACAATAAAATAATAAAATATATTGTTTTATATATATTTTATTACTTTGTTTTATATATTATTCTTTTATTATTTTATTGTTTCCCTTCAACGTGACTTTATTGTTTCCCTTCAACGTGACTTTACCGAAAGAACCAAAAATATGAATCACTGCAGTCACGAAAGCTTTAAATCAAAATTATTAATCATATTGCATGAAAATTGGTTTTACGAAATTCATTTAATTCAGGCTAACTTTGACTCGAGTCATCATGAGACTCACGTATCTGAAAAAATAGATATCATGGGCGCATTTTTCTAAGCAACTCAGAGTTGGTGTGTTCATTCCTCTGCCCCACGGAAAATTAAACTCTACACCGGCGCACATGTATTGCTAATGGCTACCCATTCCGAATTAAGTCTACACTTTTCGTTTCTGGAAAGTACACTATAATAGCCCGCAGTTAGTCTTTCGGCATGTCGCGTGTGGTGGGGTAAAGTGTGGATGGCTCTCACCTTCTCCAAGACGTCTAGCCAGTCTGGAAGAGTAGGCCAAATACATTCTAGACAGGCTCTCCAGAGCTCCCTCTAGCGGAGGCCCATCCGCCACCAGTGGCGTGAGCAGGCACCCTCAGCTCTGCATCGTTACATTGTCCTGTAATGAATGAATATATTGTGCCCATTGCCCAAGTTGGTTGCGACAGCACACAACAATCTCACTGTGCTATAGGATGATTTATCAAGGGGAAGAAACCACTTTAATTAATGATTTAATAGCAACCCACAGCTCAATTGCAGAGGACTGCAACTTGCGAAGGGACAGTACCGTCGGAGACATAAAGGGTAAAATGATGAATAATAGAACAATACATTGTACTTTAGAATAACAACAAAGGTTTGAATTCATTCTCCGAAAAATGTGCCAGCCGACAGATGTTTTATAAAAACGTGAGGTCGTGTAGTGGGCTATTCTTTAAGCAAATCCCAAATCCTGCACTCTGTAGCCATTCATCTCGTTTTATCCCGCGGTTGCACAACACCCACTAGTCTGAACACTCCGTACTTTTACTTAGATCAACCAGAATTCAACCTTTTTTTGTGGAGAGATGTTTTATTATGTATAGTATTAAACAATTGTTTTTGTTATATGCCTGCAAGTTTAACACATTCCTGCAGAGGGGGCTAGTAGAAACGTTGGTTGCTCGGTCAGTGGCCAGGGTCAACGGCGGCGTGGTGTATTCCGCAAATATGCCCGACTGTGAGGGCAGGCACAAGCCGGCGTGAGTAGGTTAAACGTTGAGTTTTATAAGGGCACCACGGGGTGACCAGCCCCTCCCCACCCAGCCCCACCCAGCCCCACCCCTCCCACCCCCCACCCAGCCCCACCCCTCCCACCCCCCACCCAGCCCCACCCTCCCCACCCAGCCCCTCCCCACCCAGCCCCTCCCTACCCTCCCTTCTTCACCCAGCCCCACCCCTCCCACGTGGACAGACATCCACAGACATATACAATTAATCCCCTGCCTCCTGTAAATTAATCCCGGTTGGGCTTCCAGTCCACTACGTTTCCTACCCGTCTAAACCTCGCACATGAGATCTGTCCTGATATCACCGTCACATGTTGGGATGACGTATAACCTCAGTATAACTGGTCAGCTGTTAATGAGAACGTAAAATTATACCACTAAAATATATGTCATGATTTTAAGGTACAGATATTGTTACAGCAGAACAAAGAACAATAGATGATGCGAGAAAACACCGAGGACTAAATAAGTAATACAATCATAACATTTACGACTATAAGTTACGTAAACCAAAATCTAATTACAGGTGCAATTCAGGGAGACATCGCGCAGTTTCCAATAGATAGAGAGATTCCCAAATTCTTAATGTTACCACTCATACATCTTGCATGTAGTGTACACGTGCACAAAATACATTCACCCGTTCCTACATTACTGTTGCGACCAGAAGCTCGCAGGTGGGTCTGCATGACCTCCCAAAGTCATCCTCGTAGCAAGTAGCTTGAGGTTACAGACACCTCCGAGGAGCACGGTTGGCTGCATGCGGTTACAAAAGAAGTTCAACAAACATACAGACAACTCATTAAACACCCGTTTCTACCACGCGACCGTGAGGATATCACCACAGCAAAAGCCGTCAGGGTTTACATGGACATAGGCACACAGAGAGAAAGGGGAAATGGATGCCCCTCAATTTTTGGATATGGGGGGCTACATCGCCTTATTGAACCCCTCCCCCCTCATTGTATAATAACCCCCTCCACCTCGCTGCATGACAAGGGTTAGCGTAGCCGCTTGCCCCTCTAATTTAGAATTCCTATCAGAGCAACGGAGACATTTTCTAATTAAAAGTCAAAGTGTGGGGGCAGCGCCCACGTTCTCTCACAGCCCTGAGCCAGCGGTGGACATTCCACATCCCCTAATGGTGAATCTTTCCACAAATACAATCACTGCTGACTTCCCCCAATAAAGTGATACTTATTTTATTGGCCACCCCCGGAAGGGACGACGGGGATGAGAATTTGAGCTCGCAACATTTCCGACTGCTGCTGCACCATCCATCCAGCCAGCGATACAAAAGGAAAGGACAGAATATAAATGAGAAAGTGTCGCTGAAGCACCTCTTAGCAACACATTTGTATGTAAACAGCGTTAGGACTAGAACCAGGTTACAGGCAAATGCCAGCTACTACGAAGGCCAGCACCACACCTAAGGCACAATTACATTTTAAGGCAGAGCAGAGTGGAGTAGTTTTTGAAAATGTAATTGGTATAATGAAAAGCAACACATCTAAGTGCCTTAAGGAGAATACGTTTCCATCAGAGCATGTTGCCTGTTATGACGTATTGGTCGGAAAGACATTGACAAAGAAAGGAGAACAAGTTACATTTACATTAAAACAAATGTGAGATATGCATGCCAGAAATTGCACTGAGGCGATGGAGAGCCAATCACATGGCTTACAGAAAAAAAAAACTTAAAATTAACGACAACATTGAGAATGTATAAAACTTTGGCAGGACACGTCACTCAAGTAGACGATGGGCTGCAGACGAGACTGGTGACAGAAGTGGGGGGGACGTGCCCTGGGAGGACGACCACCCAAGAGACGGAAGAGGAGGAGGGAGGAGGGGGGGAGGAGGAGAGAGACGGAGGGGGGGAGGAGAGGGGAGGAGGGGGGAGGAGGAGGGGGGGGAGGGAGGAAGGAGGAGGGAGGAGGGAGGGGGCAGGAGGGGGTATGAGGGGGGAGGAGGGGGCAGGAGGGGGGAGGAGGGGGCAGGAGGGGGTAGGAGAGGGTAGGAGAGGGTAAGAGGGGGGAGGAGGGGGGAGGGAGGAGGGGGAAGAGGGGGCAGGAGGGGGGAGGAGGGGGGTGCGATGAGGTCAGCTCGCGTGCAGGAGCATCCCAGGTCCATGAGAGATGGTGACTACACAGGGAGGCCTTCATCCAGCAGTGGACTGATCATGAATGTCGATGACGATGTATACCATGTACAGTACCGTATAGGTAATTCAGAGTTGATTTGTTGGGGTTAGGCTACATATCCTTGAGACATTCCCCATCCGATCGATTGCGTGGCCTCACCCAAAAGAATCCACGATGACTCGTGATATTGGCAGCGTTATTAAGCGTGCCGGTACATGCTCACCAAATCAATGGCGAAAAATCACAATGTTACGTAATCTGTTGGAACCAACAACCGTGGTCATATGCAACGACAACGTTAACATCGTCGGGAGAATTTCGCTTCGTTTCGTTTTGTTTTGCGAGTATCCGGCTGTGTGCCACGCGACACGTGGATAATTTCAAAGCGGGCAAATTACTTAAATAAAAGACAATCACCTCCAGAATGGCTGCTGCCTTGGAGGAATTCCAAAGTGGATATTTACGAGAACTCGGCGATAGTCTCGAGTAGCTAAGGGGACAGTTTTTAATTAAACGTTTATAATTACAATAAAAAAACACACGACTTATGCGTCCCGGGATTATTTAAAATTCTCATATTTTACAAATACATACAATCGCCAGTTGAATTGACAACAAGTATGTCGTCCAGTAACACCGATGAGTCTAATTGGGCAAAGAGTGAATGGGAGGACAAGAGTCGAGAGCGTAAGGCGATGTCATGCGGTGCCGTTAACTGGGGGGGGGGGGGGGGGGCATCATCTCTGGCATTAATATTCACGGGCCAGGCTGAGAGGCTACAAAGTCCAAACTCCGCAGCGTGGGTGGCTCTGTGGGCGGGAAGGTGGAGAGAGAGAGAGAGAGACGAGGGAGATTGGAGGAGCGACGTGGGTGGTTGGTGGTGGTGGGGGGGGGGATATACTGGGAGAAGGAGGTGCCACCTACACGTGGGACTGGATGAGCTCTTGTTTCTCTGGCACTGCGAGCGATGGCACCGTTTTGTCAACGCGCCTAGCCTGGGCGTGTGAGTACCGTGTGTGCGTCTGCATCTTCTGGGCCGGCTTGTCCATGCCGGTGCGTGCTCGTGTCGTGTTCTAGCAGGCACATTCACGATTCGTCCGTCTAAGCTTCTTACAGCCGAGCGAACACATAATGTAATTTTTTAACCCGAAATTGGAAACTTTTTTTTTGCTGCCGGTGCAAAGTTCCTGGCACTGTGAAAATCGTGCGCAGAGGGGAAAGCAGTGGCGACGCAGAAGAAATCATCTGTCAGAGAGTTCACTTCACTCCATCTCGATGGCCCACGGCTGACGTTTTAGCATTTAAGTCAGAGGGCATCACTCATCTGTAAAAAAAAAAATCATCCGAAATTCGAGCACAGCTGCCGCTGGATCCAGGAGGTCTTTTGCCGGTCACTCACAGCGCGCCCAGCTGCGTCCTGCAACGATGAGCTGTCCAACAAAGTGCAAGAAACAGATCGGAGTAATCATGAGACAGTGCCGAAAGATCATCACCGGGGCAAAGGAAGGTATGACGAGCACTCATTTCAGACGAAAGAACGTCCGAAGGTCATTTCTTGCTTCGCGTATTTAACCGGTTGCTGCAGTGTCTCTTTACTGTCGTTGCTGATTGAACACAAAAAAAATGTTTCACTTGCAGTTCAGGGTCGTGCATTGTGTTGACGTCTTGCGCCGAGTCAAGACGTCCATTCAAGGGGACACGCGCGTGCGCTTCTTCACCGTGCGTGTGCTTCTGCATTTGTGATTCAGTATATTACATGCAAACTTGCAATAAAATAGGTAGCAAAAAAATGAATTGGCCAAACCGCGACATCAAAGCCTCAACAAGCGTATCGCGACATGTAGTTGTTACAATATTTGTGAAAGTACTCAGATCGAGCTTAATTTTCATGTTGAAACAGTGTATGAAGATATGCGCGTGTCTTTGGAAGTATAGAATTATCAGTACGAATGCCCGACAGGTAGCTGCCGGGGAAAACCGCTTCACCGTATTTTCAAAGTCATTTTTTTTTCCTTCAGATTTTTGTCTCCAAGTTTTCGGCTGCCCTTTACACGCATTTCGGATCATCCTTACGGGAGTTATCGTGACCCCCTGGTTACGGACGGACGGAAAGCCGGCGCATGACTACGCAATAGGAGAGGCAGTGATGAAAGAGCCGAATAATTCTGTTGCCACAACAGAAATTAGCGCCGCCCCAAATCCCGCATCTTGCGAGGCATCAGGTGTCTATTGGAGCCCCCCAGTCCCCGCCCCCCTCTTTACATAATCATCTGGGATGGGTCTCCATGGAAACCGTCAGGAGCACGGAGACGACGGCTCCAGCCACAAGGCCGCCACTCTCCTTTCGAGCTAACCGAGGAGCGTAGCCGCAAGGCGACGCCACAGGGGCAGCAGTGATTTAACCCCCCCCCCCCCCCCGGGGCCTCCATGGGGGGTCCTTGATGTTACTCTCAGCCAGTCCTGAGAGATGGAATATATTTACCCATGCTTAAGGCTGCAAGGGTAAATGGAATATAAATGAATTGATCTGCTTTAATAGAGCGCAACTGCATCGTGGTAGTGCTGCATCAGCCACCGACATTTAAAGCGTCCCACATAAGCAGTCAACACTGTCACTTTGCGTCGTCACTTCGCCAATGTGGCCGGGATTGTCCAAGCAACCTCTGACGCGTGGCCGCGTCTGTACTGTGACCTCTTGAGGCAATTCAAGATTTCAAAGCACAAGAGATGAAGACTTGAGTGACATTTTACTGTATGAATGTGGAACTTCTTTCACACCGAACGTAGCCAACCGTGCTCATCGGACGTGCGGGGGCAAATGACAACAAACAATTTTAATTGCTGTAAAGGATTCTTAAGCCAGCTGCATCCCCCCTCCCAACTCCCCGTGTGATAGGGGCGGAGGTAAGAACTGGTGATGCAAGCGACTGGGTTTTAAATAGGATGGAGTGGCGATGCGGGCAGAGAAGAGGCAGCAGCATCAGCCCGGTCGTCTCCACCCGGAGGAGCCAGACCAGGGCAGCAGCAGGCATCTGATTTTGGGCTAAAAATAGAAAGCATCAGTAGAGGAACTGCAGTGCGTCATGCAGCTGCATATCCTGGGGTCCGGCATCAACGTCCACGTTTGAATCAACCGAGCAGCCACTCGCGCAAGCCCAACCGCTGATTATTTAAAACTCGAAAAAAAGTGTCTGCCAGAAAAGTTCGAGATGAACAATAATAATTCTTATTATTTGTTTTATTATTATCAAACTCGTACCGCGGCACGGTCCGAGCCACTCGCCCATTGTCACAGTCATCACGTCATCGCCAGCCACGCACGAAGAGCCCCCCCCCCCCCTCGTCCGCCACCGTACCACGTGGTCTCTTTTTTTTGCACGGTGCGACAATCCGTCTCACTCGTGCACATGAGTGGATTCTAATTGCTTCCTCTAATGCCGTGGAATATCCTCTCATTCGACTGGCGCTCCACACTTTGACTCAAAGACCAAGCCATCGTCCTTTCGAGCAACGTGACCTTCCCAAGCCCCATTTCACTTTCCTGCTCTACTTTTCTCCAATTACCGTCAGTGCTCCCTCAACGGGTACAGGGATTTTCCACTCTTTATATCTTTAAAGTTGTCTCCTTTTTCTCCTGATCTACGACTTTTTTCCCAATACAGTATATGTCTTTCTCTCAGTTTCTATCTCTGGTTTTGACGAGGCGTGAGTAGTCAGACCAAGTCCGTGTATCGTACGGAGCAATGGTCAGGTCCCGAAGGGTACCCCCCGCGTTCATTCTTAGCACTCCCTGCGTCTTCACCTTGTCAGACGACGCCATGGCCGGTGAAAGCAGCGCTGCCTGGGGTCTGGGAGCCGTGGTTTAGTTGTGTTGATCATGAGGATTGTTTTTTTACCATACTTTTCTAGGGCTGATCAATATGGTTTGGTGATTGCTGATACAATCACAATGTAACGGCGTCTTATTTCCAATACGGTATAACGAATGACTTTGTCACACACACTCTCAAAATGAAGGTCACAGGTTAAATCCCTTTAACAGATTTCATTTCACATCCAGTCAATAGCTTTTAACTACGGTGACTCTAAACCACCCCGAGCTCTTGTCACACACATCTTTGCCGGGAGCGAGACGATTGCAGTAATCGGAAGAGGCAGGGCCGCACACGGCAACAAGTTCCGCAAGGTGACACGTGTTACCGTACCGTGCACACCGTGCGAATCGTGTAACCGATGATCATGTGGCATCGTTACTCGAATCACTCCAACGGCTCTCAATTCAGCCCTATATCAACCAGAGTTGATATGGGGCTGCCCTCGCCACGTTCAAAATCTTCCATAGAATCGTCACTGCCGAATTCACCCCCCTCCCCGACCCCCCACTTTCTCTCGCTCTGCTCCCCTTTGTGTGCTCTCTCTGCTTGGCCTTCTGTCACACACCACGGTGGTAAAAATCTTCACTCGATACGGGGGGGGGGGGGGTAACTTTTCCTCTGCCGCTGCCTCTATAATCTGCAATTTATTTACTTTCAAAATGCCACTTTTTACCGCAGACCAAACCGGGACATTTAGTCACCCTCAAATTGTGCAGTTGATTATTCAACAGAAGTTCAACAAAATTCCTGCATCTAGATCGGGGTGCCAATCAGTTGGTACCGTCCGAATGAAGACGCCACATACGCCAATTCCCTCACTGTCCGAACAGGTTGCAAATATATTTACAAATTTAAGTTGTGTTGTCTATAAGCTTTCCTCTCAGTTGTTAAAAAAACGATTATTTTTAAATGACCTGTTATTTCACGTGTAAGTTCATGAATGCAACACCTTCATATTTGATATGATACAGTATCTTCGCTAAAGGCCAGTTCTTCAAACTAAATATCCCCATCTCTCTGGAGGAAAACATATTTCATATTACAAAAGATCTTCATTTGTGTTACTCAGTTGTCAATCACTGACACGCAAACCCTATATCACGCATGCGCTGAGCACATGCCCAAATGCCCAACATGTATGGGCTCAAAATGTCAATAAAATGTACATTGCAGGCCAAAAAAGATATTAATAAATATCATTTTGGGGGGGGGGATTGCTGTGAATAGTTAGTTCCCTTCAAGGAAAATGTCAGCTCACTCTATTTCACTCTCGTTTGCCCCAAAGACGCCGGCAGACTGAGAGTGAATCAAGGCCGGTCGGGATGCCAGGCACGACACACACACACTCCGTTATTGAGTGGAGAGTTGCCTCCCAGGAGAGCTGGTCTCTCAGCTCGTCAGTGTGAACACACTTCACGTGGGGACTCTCCAGGGGCATCTCAACAGGACACTCAGGACCCACGACGACTCCACTACCTTTGCCTCTCTCACCACACCGATGGGGGTAGGGGGCGGGGGTTGGAATGGCGAGCCACCCACAAGTCATTCACGAGCATGAGACCACCCCCCCCCATCGCTCGGTAAACCCATCGGGGTCGTCTCCTGCATTTCAATCTCTGGCTTATTCAACCAGGCAACGCATCCCCAGTGCGACTGCAGATCCTTTTGCAAAAACTGCTGTCAGTCGCTTCTGCGGTTTGTCGCATGCTGACAATATCCCGTGAATCTATCAACCAAGAACAGTGCCTTAGTGATAGTCCCTATGCTATACGAAAAGGCGTGAATACCACAAAGTGGATGCTATTATTATGCGGCAATAGAAGAGTAAAATGCAATTACATTATTGTATTTATATATACATATACAAAGTGTTAATTTAAACTCTTAAGATTATATGTAAAAAAAAACTAGAGGCAAAAACAAGCACATGACATAGAAACGAAGCTCAGAAGGAAGTGTGCGAGAATTACCCGCACTGCGAATGGAGTCTCCCCGAGACCATTGGCAGCGAGAACAGGTGGTGACTTTCACAGGGAACACGCAGATTGATCCAGACTCGTGAACTACGCATCGATGATTTATAATCACATCTGAGTTTCATACACTTTCAAAAGAGCAGATTTTAAAAAAAAAAACTATTCATATAACCGCAGCTATGTATACACGCAATTCCTAAATTGGTCCTAAATGTAAAGTCTCTTTTGAGATGAATTTTTTTCCCAGAATGTTGACAAAAAAATCCCTTCAAAGCATCTCCACGCGTTATGGTTTATGGATATTGGCTTGTCATAACTAATAAGGTAGCAAACTGAAGACATTATTTTTTTTTGCATTGAGGATATGTCCCTGGTATTAATGAATTCCCGTTATTATTCTGCTGCGCTTAATAATTCAAACAATTTATTTTTTATTATTGCTTCCCTAAAGAGATGTTGTATTCCGAGCCCTGCGTGCACCTGACAGCCACACTCTGAATCGTTGCCCCACTATTCAGGCCACATTAAAAAAAATGTGCTTCGACTGTAATGATGCATTTTTTTTTTGCAATATATAAAGACTTTTCTCATTAAAAAAACACCTCCCTGCATGACTCATGTATTTTCCAGCGGCTTACCTCGTGACAAGAGTAATT